CCCCAAAACCCCAAAACCCCAAAACCCCAAGAATGAGGTAAAAAGTGAATAGTTATAATGAAAACTCTTAGCTAGCCCTATGATAATTACCAAGATTTAATTAGATGATTGCAATTATTTATATTCACTTTCAGTCCAGTAATAGTATTCATTAATCATCTTCATCATCTTCGCTCTTTGACTCCTCTTTGGACTCCTCTTAAATAAGTTTTACACCTTCTTAGCCTTCTTTGTATAAGAAATAATTGTACATCTCTTCCTCGATATGATGCATCTCTCCACAAATCACAAATGAGTGAAGTGGTTCTCCTAAGTCAAGTTTCAAAAATTCAGATAACTTTCCACTCACAATTTTTTAAGTAGCTGTGCCTACTCTAACCAACCCCATACAAGGGGTATCTTCTGAATAAACATTTTACTTCAGATTTGCCTCAGCTTCTAGCATTTAAGCAGCGGCCTGATGAGTTCTCATGTATCTTGGCTACATATATACTTTCTTTCCTCTTGCTAAACTCTCCTCTGTTGGCTCTTTCACTTTTATATCAAGCAAAACTAAAGTATGCAATCCGTTTTCTCTATTCTTTTTAATCTTCTCGTAGAAGCTATATGGTCTCCATTTCTCTGAGAAAAATGGCAGTGATACGATTTCTCCAAATCTATATACTTAGAGTCCGCAGCACCCAACTGCACTTATAATTGAGGCATTATGAATAACCTCAACCTTGACTCCTTACTCTACACATCTTAAATACAGATCACTATGAGTGGTGGCACAGAAAGGATCTCCAACTACCAAGAATGAAACTATATTATCCTTTGAATTTTGAATCATCTCCTCACATCCACTCTCTACGAATTCTCTATCTGCTTCTATAATTGGTTTTCCGAAGAATTCTTCTAACCTTTCTCTGCTAATCATCAGAATGGCAGTGTAGCATTCCAAATAAATAAACTATGATGACTTTACTGCTTCAAGCCCTTTAACTGAGATATCTCTCTCGTCTGAGAGTCCTAATCCAATCATATGCAATACCATTTTATTTTTGAAGTTGACTAATTAATTTGAGTGTTTATTATTAAATAATGATCAAAGCCAATCATATGCTTTATCTTAATGGGGTTTTGGGGTTTTGGGG